TAAACCGAAGACGATGTTACCCCACTGGAACAGCATGTTCTTGGTATTTGGCAGGCTTTGGGAGCACCCCAAATCACATGTAGAGGATGGAGACAGGTCACAAAATTAAATCACTCTAGCCAACCTACTTCTACCCCCAACCCACTTCTAATAAATTTGAATTAATTAATGCCCCCCTCCCAACCCCCAAGTCATACTTGTTACAGCCAGTTCCAACTGGGATTAACTGGACTTAGTTAAAAATTCACCTACTTTTTCCTTTCACAAATACAACTGACAGGAACAAAGAAAAACATTTCTATTTGTAGAGAGCAATGTGATGATAATTCTTTGGACCTTGAAGCTTACAGAAGACTAATGAGATAATGTCTAAAACGTGTTGGAGTTGCATGCATGAAAGGTTCTATGGAGATAGAAAATATGATAAATAATGCAAGAAATCTTCGTGTCAGGAAATCTCCTGTCTTCTGGAGGACTTAGTAAGTATTAAATAAATACTTTACAAACACGTACCTGCTAATCTTATCTGTCAACTTCAGCCCAGGGAGGTTGAAAAGTACTATTATTCCCATCGTAACAAAGAAGAATCTTGATTTCTAAAGAAAAATTTTTCCAAGAAAATTCTAACACAGACCATGGCTGGTAGGTGATGCCTTCATAATAAGCCAAGCTTCCAACTTCAATTTCAGCTCTTGGTCAATCTTCTCAGTGTGAAAGCACTAGTCCTAGCCCCTTAAACTTTCCACTCAGACTGAGCCAAATGCATCCCTGAGGGATTCTCTTGCTATCCTAAATTGAGAAAAAGCACAAAGCACACCCTCTTTGGCGTTCTTGAACCATCAAAGTACACTCAACAAATAATATTCTCAAGAGTGACCACATAATGGATTTCAATAACTTAAGAGCTCAATTCAGTTACCTACAAGCCTTAATCTGCTCCTTCATGCAAGTCCCTTCATTTAAAAATACACAAAACCTTTATTTCTTCCCATGACATCTTTTATTTCTAACAATTATAAATAAAGAAACTACCTTTTTTCATGAACTCAACAAAATAACAAACAAGACACAAAATTTAGCTAAGAATTTTCTTTTATTTATTTATTTGAGAGAGAGAGAGAATGAGAGATAGAGAGCACGAGAGGGAAGAGGGTCAGAGGGAGAAGCAGACTCCCTGCTGAGCATGAAGTCCGATGTGGGACTCGATCCCGGGACTCCAGGATCATGACCTGAGCCGAAGGCAGTCGCTTAACCAACTGAGCCACCCAGGCGTCCCTAGCGAAGAATTTTCTGATGGGGACTTCAAAAACATTTGGCATATGCTCTCTTCTTACCAGTTCCCAAATGCCAATAGATCTCCCATTTGTTTATTTAAAGTCAGTATCATTTCAGTTTTCAGAACCTGACTTGAAAAAAAAGCCACTATCTTTTTGAACTTACTCAATCTTAAAAATCTTCCCAAATCATCAAGTCACAAAATTTCTATTAAAAAAATCAAAAAGTCTCAGAGCTGGGGAGAACTTTGATAAATGATCTGATTTAACCCTTGCCTACAGATAGGTGAATGTAGTTTACAAGTATTAAGACTGATGACCTGTGGACAGTGGGCCATGCTTGGCCTTTTGGGACATACACAAAGTGATAGGACAACTCCCTTGCCTCAAAGGAGTTGATGTGTTTCCAGTGATGTGTTTCCCAAAGTGCATCAGTATCACTTGGGGGAGAAGGTATGATTGTAAAAATGAACATTCCAGGCCCCATCTCAGACTTACTGATTCAGAAAGTTTAGGGATGGGACCCAGGAATCCACATTTTTTTAAAGCATCCCAGGTAATTCTTAACACCATTTAACATTTGAGAACCCCTGCTCCAGTAGGTCAGAGAGAGGTGCTCAACATAATATCAGATAAGTGTTGAATATGGACTAAATAGGGGGTCTGTCTTCTAGGGACATAAACAGAAATTTGAGGGGAAAAAAAGCATCTTCCTTCATTAATGCCAGATATCTATCAGAAAACACTAAGTCATCTCTTAGCCTGACCCAGACATTTTTCTAAATTATACTGACCACTAAGTTAGATTGTGAACTATCAATTTCATAATAGAAACCCTTAGTGGAGAAACTTAAAATCTCTAGTGATCCATGATTCTCCCTAAAATGCCTAATTCACTTGACATTTAGTATGGATTCATTTAGTTCATGAACCACACGTTTTAGCCTATTTTCTTCCCATGACAGTGGTGTTCTAAGGAATAGCAATTTTTATAATATTTTCCTTTGACAAAAAATATAAAAAACTAGTAAACATAAAGTTGAATTCGGAAACATGTGAGATATTTGAACTTTAAAAAAGTAAGCTCCTAGCAGAATTAATTGGCACATACAGATTCTGTATAATGTATAATGTATAATGTATAAGATCTAGCACTTTGTGTACAGAAAAATCATCTGGGGGTGCAGCTATCAATGCAGATTGCAGAGGAGTCTGACTCCATAGAAGTAAGATGGGTAACTGAATTTTTAAGTAGCACCCCAGCTAATTCTGATGTGAATGGTTTTGAAAAAACAGTCCTGGGGTTTCAAGAATCCAAGCTTATACCTACTTAAACTTTCCTTTGAATCTAAATCAATATATTAAACACAGTAGATTATCAATATATGAGTATTTATTTTTTTTTAACTTTTAGTTTTTTATTTTGTTTCAGACAGCTGGACGAGGCATCTACATTCCAGCACATCTTAACAATCACTAAACAAATGAAAGACGACTTACTTATATATAAAAACGCAAGGGGAAAAGGTCATGAGTGTCAACAGGGAATTTGAATTCCCAAATAAATTATCTTACAAAAATATCAAACTTGCTTTTCCACATTTCTACTGTTAAAAATGAAGGAGAAAAATTCACATTAAAAAAAAATCTGTAGGCTGGTATAGCAAGTTAAGATAATCATTTTTACATACTAAGTAAGTCCTTCAAATAAATATCTTAAACAAATTTAAGTTTTTCAAAAAATAGGTAAAATATTTACCTTATATTTGTTTGGTCCACTAAAAGACCGTTTATAAAACTGACATTAAACTGGACTGAAGCTCATACCCTGTGAGTAGTAACATACACATCACTGAGGCTGGCTATGCACGTGTGCATATTACATATATGTGAACAGCTACTGCTGTACATACTACTTTTACGAGTAGTTTTACCCTGTAAAAATCCTCTAGTCTATCATGAATCGAACTGCACAGAAAAAGAAAAGAAAATACTCTGCGTAGTGTAGACATTTACTCAGTAATTTTTAACAATGCAAATATTACCAAGTTTTTGGGACTTTAAAGATTACTGAACACAAGATAAAATTCAATACTGCTTACAAATACCTGAATATGGAGAGCAATATATGCATATTTAAAGTAATCACAAATGGGAAGAAATAGGGAAATTCAGCTCATTTAATCAGAGCCCACATTCTATTAAGTCAGAACTGGGGAATCTTGCATGTGTCATAAATTACTGACCTCCAGCATTAGGAGCCACATATAGTAAAAAGGCAACTTAATGTAGGCTTTTGCTGTTGCCTCTTTTAGAGAGTATATAGAACATTCTAATTACCTACTTTTAAAACGCAAGATATGCTGAACAGTGTGCATATATGGCAAGGGGGATAGTTGACTGAGGGTTGGGTAATGCGCATGATTCTCTGGCCAAAAGCAATAATCAGAGAAACATAATTCTGGTGATCATGCAAAACAAAAGCAAATGGAATCTGTCCTTGATCATTCCTGATGTTAGGACTGTAATTTCCCCATTCCCACAGGAATTAATTGTGGAAAAATTAAACATTTGCAGTATTATCTAATTACTGATAACTCACAGAGAACTGGGATGTTGTCATCTTCCTTTAGGGGGGCAGATATGTGTGGGTTCTGGGGCTATGAGCTTTCTCAGAGTCTAAAAAGTATGCTTTATATATTTATATAACATATTATTGTCCAAATAGTCCACGAACCTATAAAAGGAACTCTGGTTTATTACTTAATGATGGCCTAACCTTGAACAAGTTATTTGCCCCTTCAGAGGCTCAGTTTTCTCAACTGTAAAATGGATACCCAGGCTGATCTAGATTCATAGCCCTGGCTCTTTCCACTCCGCCATGACATTCCCCACAGCGCAGTGCCTAACTGAGGTTTACATGGGAGGATCCTAAGAGATAAGTTTTACAAAAATGCTCCATGAGCTGTAAAGCACTATACAGATGAAGTGGATTATTATTAGTCGTTTTTTTTAATTTTTTATTGTTATGTTAATCACCATACATCATTAGTTTTTGATGTAGTGTTCCACGATTCATTGTTTGTGCATAACATCCAGTGCTCCACGCAGAACGTGCCCTCTTTAATACCCATCACCAGGCTAACCCATCCCCCCACGCCCCTCCCCTCTAGAACCTTCAGTTTGTTTTTCAGAGTCCATCGTCTCTCATGGTTTGTCTCCCCCTCCGACTTACTCCCCTTCATTCTTCCCCTCCTGCTATCTTCTTTTTTTTTTTCTTAACATATATTGCATTATTTGTTTCAGAAGTACTGATCTGTGATTCAACAGTCTTGCACAATTCACATATTAGTTGTTTTATAAAGCCCAGTTATAAAGATGCAAAGTGACCCAGAAAAAGAAAACAGGGTAGACAAACCTGAAATACAACATCTATAAGTGCCTAGAACTTTACCTGGTGCAAGGTAGATAGCTGCTTAGTAAGAACAGAGTAAATAAAACACACACGCCAAAAAACAAAAACAAAAACAAAACCAGGTCTGTGCCTTCACCACACTAGATGTGATACCAAGAAGGAATAAATATAACTAAAAGCAAGGATAGTTTGATTTAACCATACAAGCCACAATTCCCCAACAGCCTAACATCTTAAAAACTACTTGATGTGAAAGAGTATTAAGATGTAAGATTGACCCATCATCTTTAAAGAAATGGTTACATTCTTACCTCTTTGGTCTTTCAGATGCAGTCTTGTAGGGACAGCAGACTCTGGGTGAAGTTGCTGAGTTTTTTCCCTGTATCAGATGGATATGCATAATCATCCTAGCAACCTGTAGAGGAAATAATAGATTCTATAGAATGTTGGGTACCTAAGCTCTGTTTTGGATTTGGAAGGCTGATTTTTAGTGACATACTGATTTTAAGCAAACCAGATTTGTCCCTTAAGCTCCCCTCCCCAGAGATACACCAAAGGAGGCTGGGGTCGAGGGTCCTAGTGGTTATAAAACAAATTCTTTAGGAGCCCTTTGTCAGTTTCCTAGAATACATAAAACGTGATTCAAATTTAAATATTCAAATTGCATTACACACAACTTTTGACATAGCTATTTATAGAAAAAGACAACACATTAAAAAATTCAAGGGAAAAAATGTTTTCTTCTGGGTGGGCCTTAACTGCGTTCCCCCCCAACCCCCATTGCAAATATATTTTTATGTTGGGTAACATTTCCAAAACAGGGATGCTTTTTTCTATTGTTGAAATGAAACAAACAAGTTTGCTTTCAGAGCCACAGAAGTGCCCAACTGTTAGAAAAAACGTTTTCTACTGGCCTCTTGCCTGTCGTATCCCCATGCAACCTTTCCTATTGGCCCCTTTCTCTAGGAGGGCCCCTGGGGCTGTCTGCTGGAACTGACTGTAAAACCATTTTGTGCAGGGAGAACTAGTTTCTTCAAAATCTCAGAGACCGACCACCCAGAACATGCCTGATTTTTGGCAAATGTGTACGTGTTTTCTCGGTATTTGATTAGCTGTATGCTAAATAACTGACCCGGTTTTCTGGGTCTTCATTTGAAAAAGAGATGGGGGTGGGGGGGAAAGCGTTTTAAAAACTGACGAAAGGAAGAAAATCTCTTCTCACCAAAAATCTGTTTAAAATTCATTTTACGTATGTCTTTTGGGTAAGGGGCAGGACAAGGGAATTAAAAGCAAAGATTTCAACCAAGCTAAACCGTTCAAAATGAGCAAAAGCGTTTAAACTCTGTGTTGAACGTAAGCATGTGCTAGGAGCTCATGAAAACCTGCCCCTCCCAACCAGAAAGCTTCGCAGGGTGGACTTGTCTCCTGCGCTGATACCTATGGCCGGGAATCTCGGAGGAGGGTCCGCGACGGCACGGGGAAGCAGAGGCTCCTTGAGAACAGGCCCTGGCTTTGTCTCATCCTGCTGTGTTCCTCTCCTCACGGCTTCCTCCCTCACATACTAGGTGCTCAATTAATGTTCGTGGGTCTCAGGAAGCGGACAATCCGCAACTGCCCCCACGCCCCAAGCGAATTCTCGGGAACGCGAGTTTACTCAGACCCACTGTCTCCTCGCGTTCGCTGAGGTCACTTGGTCCCGGCTGCCACAGACCCGGCAGCTGGAGAGTAACCAAGCCGAGCTGCTGGAGCCAAGATGGAGCGGAAGCGGGAGAGCGAACGAAGCGGCACGGAGCTCTAGCTGGGGGGCCCACCTGACCGCCGCGCAGGCGGCCCAATTCCGCGCTACCATTGACCAGGAGGTCCGCGCAGCCAGCGCGCCAGGCGGGGGCGGGGGCGGGGGCGGGGGCGGGGAGGGACGCCCCGGCGCGCGCCCAGCCCCAGGCTCCGCCCCCGTCAGGCCCGCACGCGCCCACCTCGGGGAGCCGCAGGCTGGGAGACGCTGGGGGAGGGGAGGCCGCGCCGCGCGCGCGCGCGCGCGCCGCCGCCAACTGTCGCGGGCCCCAGCGCGCGCGCCTCCCCCGTCCCCCGCCCCTCCCCGTCCCGGGGGCCCGGCGCGCGGCCCTGCTGACGTCAGCGGGCGGCTTGCGGTGCGGGGTGCGCAGAGCCGCTGGCGCACTCGCGCGCTGCGCTCGCCCCCTCCCCCGCCCGGGCTGTGGCGCGCGCGCTCGCTGGCTCTCCCTTCATTTTTTTTCTCCCCTCCCTCCCAGCCTCTCTCTCTCCCTCGCTCTCTCTCTCTCTCTCTCCCCCTCGAGCTCCCGGCTGCCCGCGGCTCCCTCGCGCTCTCCCCTCTCCGGTAGGCTCCACCAAGCGATGCGAGCTTTGGGAAACAGCGACACCGCCTCCCGCTAGAGACCTGCCCCCGGCCCGGCCCGGCCCCCTGCCCAGCCCTGCCCTGCGCGCGGGGGTCGGCGAAGGCGCCGCGGACGCACCGACGGCTGAGGACCCGCGATGCACATGCACTAGCAGCACCCCCTCACTCATTCCCTCCACACCCCGCACCGCCGCCGCCTCCTCCTCCTCCGGCAGCAGCGGCAGAAGGACCCACCCTGCCCCCCACCCCACCCTCCGCCGGCTCCGGCTCCTGCTTCAACTATTATTTTATTTATTTTGGGTCGTGCACAAGCCTCAGTGCCTGCAGCCCGCGCCTCCTCGGACCGCGGGCGCCTCCTCCCTCGGCCCCGGAGCCCCAGACCCCGGCCACCTTCGCCTCGACACCCCTAGAGCCCGCCAGCTGCCGCGAGTCTCCGCTGCTGGAATCTTGTTAGCGGCTGTCTTTTTGGGGGGTTCTGGTTTCCCGACATTTTTGTTTTCAGCCAAGGGAAGGATATCGTGGTTTTTTCCCCTTTGAGCCCAGGCTCTGCTCTCTGGGGGGGTGGGGGGCGCGCCGAGCCGGGGAGCCGTGCCAGCCGAGTCGTGCGGGCTGTGGCAGGGAAGGGGCCACCATGGGATGTACTCTGAGCGCAGAGGAGCGAGCCGCCCTCGAGCGGAGCAAGGCGATTGAGAAAAACCTCAAAGAGGATGGCATCAGCGCCGCCAAAGACGTGAAATTACTCCTGCTGGGTAAGGACTGGGGCTGCCACCCCCACCTCCCGACCCCGGCCACTCCGCACCCACCTCCGCCCGCTCTCCCACCCTACTCGTGCCTGGGGAGACCTGGCCCCCGATTTGGCACCACTATGTGCCTAGGATCATCCACCCTCTCGCCTGCTTTACCCCCTTGCCCCCCCCCTCCGTTCCCCTAAGCTGACACTCACCAGTTTTTACCCCTGTCTGTCCCAACAGGGGCTGGAGAATCAGGAAAAAGCACCATTGTGAAGCAGATGAAGTAAGTCCCTGTGGCGTTGGGATTTGTACTTTTATTAATAATTTTTTGTCATTTGTATTATCTTGCTCATTCCACATTGCTCTCCAGGCCTGGTTTCTGATTCGCATACACACATGCACACACACACACACACACACCTGGATTTGACTCCCCTCCCCCACGCCCTACGTTGGTTCTGGGTCCTCCACCCCAACTCCCGGGTGGGTGTTTTTTTTTTTTTTTTTGCGGGGGCGGGGAGGGAAGTGAAGCGCCTGTAGTTGTATGAATGACAGTGTCCGCCATATTGATCAGAACATCACACTATTGGCATGATTATGATCATTACTCTTGCTCCTTGGGTGTATCACTACCTCCTTTTCTATCTCTGTGTCTCTTTCATTCTGTATTTCTCTCTCCTCCTCCCCCTCCCCCCAATTCCACATCTTTAATCCCACTTGCCACTGCTCTTCTCCTGGGGCAGTGATTTTGAACTTGGCTAAAACATGGAGGGGACCCAGCCCTAGACTGGGGTGGAGGATCAGGTGTCTGCTGTTCAGGGGTTTGGTGCTGAATTGGAGGTTGTGGTTTCTGCCCCCCACCCCCGTCCCCCAGAAAAGGGGTTAGGGGAAGGGGTATGTGGTAGGGGAGGGGGTGGGTTTCCAAGCAGGTGTGACTGGCACAGCTGTATCCAAGGCAGAGGTGGAAGGGGGACGCTGGTTGAGGCTGAATGCCCGTCCCTTGCTTCCCCCCCCCACCCCCAGCGTTTGCTCTCCTCACAGGGGCAGTTTTCGTTCACTCTGTGGCCTTTATCAATGTATTTATTTACACTCTGCAAAGGCCATCTTCCTTGTAATCTACCCACAATGCGGATTTCAGGCCCCACTTTCCACCGCCCCCTTCTGCCTTAGATATCAGTTTCCCCTCCTAATTAACTGGGGGTGGATTTGAGTGATGGTTGAAAATTAAAACAAAATGGGATATTCCTTCCCTTCCACACTTTCTCAGTAAGGAGCCTCGCCCCTCCTTCCCACTCTCAAGCTTGCTTCTTGCCCCATCCACTTGGCAATTTCTGGTGAGCCCACAGGCGGCTTTACTTGGGAGGGGGTGACCTGCGGGGAAGGGGTGTGCGCCCTCAGGGCCTCCTGGCCCTGCTGCTTCCGTTGGCCTGTCAGTTCGGGACAGAGGAGTTCGTTAAGACCGTTTAGCGAGGATTCCACGTCGCTTTGCTGTGACACCTTCGTGCACACACAGCTCCTAATTAGGGGTTGCTGTGCAGTAAACAAAAATGATTATTTTTCAACTTGACAGAATAGCTGAAGTAATTGCGTCCCGTAGGAAAACAATGGAAAATAACCCCTTTCGCGGAAAGGTGGGTGGGAGACGAAGCATGCTTGCGGTTTCAGACCCAAGATGCAAAAATTCTTGCATGTGTAACAGGCATGACAAGCGGGTTCTAGGCGGCGCCATGATGGTAGGGAGTAGCGACTCGGAGACAATTTACCCACGTCTGCTTGACATATTCTTATTTTCGTTCGAGAGCTCCCTTGGGCTTTCTTTCCAGAGGCCCTCTTGGCTCTCCGCACCCCTCTGAGCCACGAGTAATTTGGCCTGGGGCTTCTCTGGAGCTTGTGCAGCCCAAATGGATGGGGAGGCGGGGCCTGGGGAATTGCTCTTTGCAACAAGGTGCATGTTGCATCTGCCTGGAGCCCTTGCAGGTCGGTAAATGCAAGCAGCGCCACCCCTCTCTCCCAGAGGGGGATGTTTTAGAACTTCAGAAGTCTGTAATCTGCAGTGGCGGCCTCAAAGCCAGGTAGAAGCCCCAGCCACCGAGGCTGGGTGAGGTTTCAGGCGTTGCGAGTGGTGGACAGCGCCCAGCTGAGGCCGGAAAAGTCGATGGGGCTCAGCTCGGTGGCGCTCGGCTCGGCTCGGCTCGGCTCGGTGCGGACTGGGCGCGGGGCTCGGAGGGACTCGGCAGTGTTCGGAACGGAGTCGGTGCCCCAGCGGAGAGAACCGAGCCGCTTCGGAGGGGGCCGAAGGCATTCGGAAAGGCTCGGGGAAGTGGGTGGAAAGAGTCTGCAAATTAACTTTGCATCCACCAAGGCAACTCCTTACCTGCTTTTCCCCGAACATGCCCTATAAATTAGGTTGATTTAATAAGAAGTTTAAAAATATATACTGAATCCCCCAAAGGTTACGTCGCCTTTTTTATTCAAAGAGAGCTGAGTTCTCCAAGGAAATAGGTGTGCCATTTTAGAATGAAAATTCCCAATTATGTACTGGGGTAAGAAATCTTAAATGAAGGCTATATGTAGACTTTTCCCGGGAAAGTCTTATGTGTCTCATATTTAGTTACACTGAGGAGGGGGAAAAAGTCAAGCCTTTGATGTTTGAGATGGTTAAATCAGATATCAGAGCATTTCTTCTCTTTTCCGTGTACGCTCCCCCCCTCCACTTTTCTTACTCCCACAGGACACATTTTTGGAGAAAAATGTCAGGCAAAACAGATTTTGTAGGTAAAAGTATTAATATTTTTTTAAAAATACACCAGCTCTTTAGGAAATAGGCCAGGTTTGTTCAAAACGTCAGTGAAAAAGATTTCTGGCTGTGTAAATTTTGCACAAGGGACCCTGGCATCTTGTCCTCCTGAAGCATGCATGAATGGCAGCTTTTCCTGTGAGCCCTCCAGCTTGGCTTGAAATAAATCAGATCAGGGCCTTGTGCCAAGCTGGATGCAGGACTTGTTTTATTAACCACAAAATGTGGGATTGGTGTCACTGTATCCTAGTGACAAATTCTTTTGAGTCCTCCCTTGCAGAGATGATTTTCCCAATCGCCACTTGACTGAAAGTCACTTGAGTCAGGAGACCTGTACTGTGGGTGGGGTGGAGCCCAAAAATCTGGGTGGCATTTAAGAAAGCAGTTTTGGACTTGCCTATGTAGTGTGATTGGTGACCAACCTATCAGGCCATATGTATGAATTAATTTGGATGCTGCGTTATTTCATCTGGATAGAAGAAATTAAGAGAATCCTCCATGAGTGATTGCCCTGTGAGAATTTGATGATTTCCTAATGGAGAATGGAGTTTAATTGCTCCTGTTGGATTGAAAGAATATTGATATTCAGATTATCACCAGACCCTTTTAAATCAGTGTTTCCAGAAGAGCAAAGAGCCATTCCGTTGAGCCCATATTCTCATCCGTGTGTTGTGGCGTGCTGATTGGAAGGAATAAGCTTCCATATATGCCATAGTAAGTGAAGTTATATGACAAAGGACTGACTAGTAGATGCTGCTCAGAAAAAAGTATTAACACTGACATCAGGCTAGGAATGTTGCAGGGAGACTGACCTTTGAAATTCTTTTGCTTGATACGTGTTATAGTGGGAAACCTCCGTCTATTTAAGAGATGCCACAGATTAGACCGTCATTTAAAAGCCTGATTCTTAATACTTTATTAAAAGTTTCATTTGAACATAGCTTGCTGGGGTGTTTGTTTTTTTTTTCTTTGCATATGTGATCGTGAGTTAGCCTTTGGGAGCTCTGTGTCAGACAATCCAAAACATAATTTCAGTACTGAGAAATAAACAATTGATCATTGAAACAGCACAAATAAAATTTTACACACACCATGAGGATTCAGTGACCTTTTTTATTATGTGGTATTTAAATAATTCTGCTCATTAGGAGGCCATGACTTCACCTGTGATATGGCCGCATCATTTTTGCAATCTGTGGGAATCTTTATTCAGACTAATCAAAATTTTAAAAGGAGGTGTTAATTTTATTTAATTAGCAAAACCCTTACAAAGAGCTCTCTTGAAGAATTATATTTTATGAAGTATGGAAGCAACAGAATATCATTTTAAGGGACTTCCCATTTTGAGCCGTGACAACTGTTAGGGCTACCTACCTGGTGAAAACGTAAAAGGAACTTGTGGAGTTGCTGTAGGCACCACAGTTCGCCCTCATTTGAGGTGTTGAGTTTTCTGTGATGTCACGTTCAGGCTATCTGTCTCTGAAGCAGTAAGTGGATTTTTAGAAAGATAAGAGAGTTGGAAGGTGGCAGTGAGGCGTGGCCTGCAAGCTGCTGGCTTTATATATAAATGGACACAGTAAAATGGAGCACTTTGGGTGTGAGCTCATTCCCAAGGTGCCTGCTCAGTTCCACTGTGAAACAAATTCCAGGATTTGCCTGGTGAAGACATCCTTTCTCACACAAATATCCCAGCCCTTACAACAGGTTATGATTCTGAGGACAGACCCCATCCTGTTGGGGCAGGGAGTCTTAAGACGTCACCTGCTACCAAAAGCTGGGGGTGTCCTCCCACCAGCTGGACCCTGCCTTTGTAACTAGGGTGTCTCCTGTTTGGCTTAGGTTCATGGCAAGCCTGTGTTCATTCAGCACACTGCTGTGCAGCACCTGCTAAGTGGAAGGGAATGGCCACTTGCAGCCATCACTCTGTGGAGTGCAGCCGTTTTAAAGGGCGTTTCCTGCACATCCCGGAAGGGTCCCATGTGGAGGCAGCACTCTGGAGAGCTACTCTTCTAGATTTGTGGACTTGTTATTTCTGCAATCCTCTCTTTGGCTGCTTTGCCCTTCCCCCTTCCTCCTGTCTCCATGTTTATTCAAATGGATGCACCTTGCTCTCTGGAGACCGCGTGAGCGCAAACAGAATGTCAGATCAAGTAGCAGATGAGTTCTCCTTTGCTGATGGATGGTGCTCTCTCCCTGCTTACTGTTCACTGAGCTGTAAATACCAGCAGACCTTCCTGCCAGAAGAGTAGCAAACAGTCCACCTGATCTCCTCAGGAATCAGCTTGGAACTCTTGAACCTCGGTTACCTGTTGGATTCTGAAGTAGAACCTGTCTGCTTGTTGAAAGGGTTGTTCCTGATTAGATTAAATGGATGAGGCTTCATTCAGGATCGACATGGCTCTAACAGAATCCGGAGTTTCTGTTCTCTCAGTATGGGACTAGATTAGATTTGCAGTGCTCAGAGTCAGAGTACTGTCTTGTTTCTC